TTTTATTTATACTTGTGGATAGCTCAGTCTCAATAGATTTGAAATTTCACCATGTTCCAAAACTGCATTAGACACATTTTCTACTGATTTATAGTGATCATAATTTTCTTGAGCTTCCTCTGATGTTAGTGTCTAATAAATTAAAACAAAAACATAATGTATTTTTTTTTTTCATATTATATATTTTAATTGCAGGTTCTTAAAACAAAATTTGACTGGGATAAAATCATTAATGGTTTTAATGCATCTTGGAATTTCCAAAACTATATTGGGGCCATAGATGGGAAACACGTAGTCATAGAGTGAACAGTCAATTCTGGATCAAATTTTTTTAATTATAAAGGAAAATATAGTATTGTTCTTTTAGCATTAGTAGATAATAATTACAATTTTACTTGTATTGATATTGGTGCTCATGGAAGTATGTCAGATGGAGGAATTTTTAATAAATATTCACTTAAAAAAGCCATTGAAGAAAACTTGTTGGATATACCAGAGGATGCTGTTTTTTAGGCGATGAAGCTTTCCTTTTGACATCCTATTTAATGAAACTATATGCAAGACGTAATATTTTAACCAAAAAGGAAAAAATTTATAACTATAGGCACTGTCATGCTAGAAGAATAGTTGAAAATGCTTTTGGAATTCTTGCAAGTAGATTTAGGTAATTTAGGCAACCAATCCCTCTAGCACCGACAACAGTAGTGAAAATTACTAAAGCTGCATGTTCATTACATAACTTTACTAGAAAGAGTGGATTAAATCAAGATCTTAAATCAGTTGATATTGAAGATTTGGAAAACGGTTGTATCATACCTGGAGATTGGAGAAACGAACCAGAATCAACTGGACTCGTTGAAATAGCAACAGCAAACCAGCGAAATTATTTTTCCGAAGCAAGAAAAAAAAGAGATAAATATCCATAGAGTAATATGGAGGGCCGTTCCATATCTCGCGTAAAAAATTAATTGATGCGTAGCTGGTAAAATTCAGATTAACCACTTCATATAAAAAACATATTGTAACACATACAGTACAATATATTGTATTGTAATGTATTGTATTTTTTGAAAGTCAATAAACCAGTAGGTACTTACCTATTCTTTAATTTAACAACACCGATATAAAACTGTACATAATATATACAATAATATATTATTTAATAATATGACCAGACGTCCTCTTTTACGAGGATCTATCCTCTTTTTATGAATGTCCTCGTAAGTCCGGGCTATTTTAAATAGAAAGTCAAAATGTCCTTTTTTAACACGTATTTTGTATTCAGTGGTAAAAATGATGATTTTGTATTTCTAAAAATAATATATAGAAGTGGTGATAACATGTAGAGTAATATACACAATTGTAGATAAAATTCTGATCATGGGTTGTTATGGCTGTAGATAGTTACTATACTTAGATTGTATACGCAATTACCCGTAAATTTAACCACTCATTCGACAAAAACCGGTCGCGGGCCGCGTCGTCGGAGCGCTAGTGGTGATCGTATGCATCATGAAAGATGCCTACTACGGTCTACAACGATGAGCGCCGATCAGCGAACACTGCCGACCAATCTCAAATAACAGAACAATTATTGTGTACTTATTGAAATGCAGGGGTGAAGATATTCTTGAGTTATCGAAAATTCGACTTATAGACGTTCGAATTATCGAGGTTTCACTGTAGTTAGAAAAATTATACCATATTAATTTAATTGTTATTATATTATAATTTTCAGTGTGCGAAATCTCTTACATTTTCATAAAACATATTATATACAGTATATCCCAGAAGTCACATATCACCCTTAGTAGCTCCGTGGAAAATCAATATATTTAAATGCAGTTTTTTTACAGTAATAAGTATGGAAATTCTGATTGAATAGCATAATATTCAATTTTTTTTTTCAACAATTTTTTATAGGCAAATAAGTTTTGAAATTTCCAAGTTATCCATTTTATTGATTGCATTTTTTAAAACAGTTTAAAAAAAAAAAAATATTAAAATTTAATGAAAATCGCCCAAGTTAGAGCTAATTATTATTTTGAATTTCTAAAAATAATAATTTTGTTACCTATGCATACGGCATTAGCAAAATACAATTTGCATGCTTTATAATCAATCTCAATTGAAACTGATTTTGTATGACAATCTGTAAATATTTAATTATTAGTGGAGTTTGTAGGAATGATTAAAATTACAATTCAGATAATATTTTTAATCTTGATTAATCATTTTAAAAACAATTATTTTAATACATGTATTACATACAATTTATTACATTTTGTTTACAAAGTGAAAAAAAAAATGAAGTGACCTCCATTATTTGTAATACGCAGTTGCAATTTTGAACCCGAGCATCCTCAACATTTTCTAATGTCTCTGGTAAAATATTTTTAATATTTTCTTCAATGCTAAGATGGAGATCAGCTAATGAACATGATGGATACACAAGATTTTTCAAATAACCCCATAAAAAAGAATTCCATTGGTGTTAAGTCAGGAGAACTTGGTGGCCAAAGTACTGGACCTCTTTTTCCAATCCATCTTCCCGGGAAGTGATAGTCCAACCAACTCTCACAACATTAGAATTATGTGCCGGTGCACCGTTTTGCATAATAGTTATATAACTTGAAAAAAAATATAGTATGGCAGTATGTGCCAGGCGCGGCTCCAAGGGGGGAACTGGGGCCATGCCCCCCCCTCGGCTTTTCAAAAATTTTAATTTTTAACATATTTGTCCTTGTGTACTATTAAATCTTGATTTTAATTACCTACCTAACAATTATATTTGGCGGCCTAAAAAAACCATATGCCATTAATATGAGGTGTCAGGTGTGTATCATAATATAGGGACGTAGTCGTAGTCGGACTCTGTACTAATTTGGGGAAACAACTATTAACAGTGAATACTCAATTACACTATTACAGTCATAAACTCTTTAACTAAAGATTTTGGGATTGACTTAAAATTATGTGTTGGAATTGGTACTGATAGGTGTAGTGTGATGATATCGCAAGATTGTGGAGCGGTCACAGAAATTTTAAAACAGTGTACAAATGCTGTTCGTTGCATTTGTTATAACCATGCATTAAACAATTCTTTGGCCCAGTCATCTAAAATAGTTTCAGTAAGAAATACGATTAGAACATTAAAAGAAATAATTTCATTTTTTAATGCTTCTGCAAAAAGACATTTAGTGTTGAAAAATATCCTTGGCAAACCCTTAACTGGTTTGTGCCAGACCAGATGGATTGAGATGCATGATGGTATCTTGCAATTTAAATCAGCTCTCCCTAAGGTAATATTATATTCATACATTTATATGTATATTGGTTATTAATTATTTTTAATATGAATTTGTTTAGATTGTTGAAGCACTAACTGAAGTATCAATGTGGTCAGAAAGAATATCATCTAGCAAAGCTTCAATTTTGTTGTCAGCCATAAACAATAGTGAGTTTATTATATGTATATTAGCTATGGTTGATGTACTTAAACTAACAATGCCAATATCACTACTTTTGCAATCAACGTCATTGGACTTAGCAAATGCTTCTTCATCAATAGATGGAAAAAGAAATTTTAGAGGAAAAACTTAAAAATTGTGTTTCTGAATTTAAAGCAATTTTTTCAAATGCAAGTGACTTAGCTACAGTTATTGGATTTGACTTAAGAATGCCTAGAATAGTTGGGAAACAAATAAATCGTAGCAATTATCAAGCGAAAGATACTGAACAATATTATTTGCGAAGTATTTACATACCACTATTGGACACTGTGAAAACATATATGACTTTGAGATTATCAACCAGTACTTTAGAAGCTTTCGATTTATTTTTATAAATTCCTAAAACAATTGTAGTGTTAACTGACAAAGATTCCTGCGAGAAAAAAAATATAATAAAAATAATTTTAAACGTAGCAACTAAATTTTCTAAATTAAATGCAGAAGTTAAATTGATGACTCCTGATTTAGTAGAACGTATCTACTTAATAACAAATATTCAAACATAATCAATACCTATGTTTTTTTTAAATTTTTTTTTATCTCTAGTTGAAGTTATGTTATGGATCTATAAATGGAAGAAATATACACCAGACCAACGACCGATTACAGCATTAGATGCCTTAACAAAATGTGATTATGAAATATTTCCTACCATAAGATTGTATTTGCAAATATTAGCAACACTCCCAGTCAGTGTTGTGTATCGGCTGAGAGAAGTTTTTCGACTCTACGCAGAGTTAAAACTTGGCTTCGATCAAGGATGGACGAGGATCGTTTAACAAGTTTATGCTTGCTAAACGTACATCAAAATATTAATATATATGATAAAGTGGACGAAATAATAGAATTATTTGCAAAACAAAAAAAAAGAAGGCTGGAGTTTGTTGTATAAAATATTTTATTAAACAAAACCAAATATAATGTGTAAATACAAGACATTATTTATTGACAAACTTACAGATTCCAGGTTAGAATATTCTCTAAATCCCCTTTGCAATTTAGTGATAGCTGAAAAAAATGCCCCCCCCCTTTTTGTAAGTCTCTGAAGCCGCGCCTGGTATATGCTGTATTATCAGACTTGGTCCCACACTCTCGTTTACATTTCTGCGAGCACCCTTATTCAAAATGTAAAGTATTTTTACCTATTACCTTTACCAGTATCTCACATAACTATTTTTCACCAATGCATCATACACATGTATATATTATCTATGATTAAATTGCTGTATATTTGTATAATAGATTAATACAATTATTTATTATGGGTAACGACAGAAATAACAATAATAATTAAAAATTAACTTTTCTTGATTTGAGATCAGCAAATGTGCCAATAACATTATCCAAGTCTAATCCATCTACTATTTCATGTTCTATAGATATTATTGCTAAATTTGTAGTTTTCTCTTGACTTAGTGTTGTTCTAAGGTAATTTTTTACCAACTTTAATTTTGAAAATTATCTCTCAGCTGTTGCTGTTGTAACTGGTTATGTGAGCATAATCCTTAATGCTATAGCAACATTAGGATAAACATCACCAACACAGTTGCAAAGGATTTTTTGTAAAACTCTTAAAGGTGAGGTACAAAGTTGAAGGCAAAGTTCATCATACAATTCCGCTCCACTAATGTCCATGTTTTCCACTATTTGTAACATAATCTGTAAATCATGGCAACTTTTTAACAATATATCTGAATCAGCAGTCGATAGATTACCAATATCAAACAGAAATCCAAAATAATTGTTAAAATGATCTAATTGGGTGAATCTTTGATTTATAGATACAATTCCTTGATCTAAAATTGGTAAAAAAAAATCATTCACAAAACATTCTCCTTCATTTGTCGAGCATAATATAGGAGAGCTTTCATAACGAAACATTCGTTTCTTCAAACTTTTTCTTTTAGATTTAAACTCTGGTTTTATATCAATTTGTTTGCAAATATGAATAGCTATATTTGTCACGGTCTCTTGACATATTTAAAAACTAGCTAATAAAAAAATACAAATTATAAACAAATTATAATGATGTGCTTATTAAATAATTACTAGGTATGGAAAAAAAAACCCAATAAGTTATTAAACGACGAAAAGGGCTGTGTGAAAATCGAGAAACAGATTCACTTAGTATACATTTTGTATGACTAGTTAGACCTTCAAATGCCTCAGAAGAACATGTGTTACATTTAATTAATTGAAGTCCTGGGGATATTTCTCGTATTAGTGTAAAAAACGAATGATTCATTGATACCACACATATTACTAGCGCCATCAACACCTAACCCAATTAAATTTTTGGTATTTAGCTTTAATTGTTTTAAAAATTAAATTGTCCATTTTACAGATCCCAAACAATTTATGCATAACTGAAGCTTCTTCACCGTTCGGAATCATTTGCTTGGGCTTTGATTTTCGATACATTCACACTGAATGGGCATATTTGCTTGCTTACATGGTGGACAGCTAGTGGTTGAGCTCGGATTAGTCGGCTGCACGAGAACTTTGGATGACGCTGTGGGACGAGAACCTTTTGATGGTGGAGGTGGCAATTCAGTAACTCATGAATCTATAGGTTGTTCGGTGATTAAATCTAAAAACACATTTCCCACTTTATCTGGAGGGAGAAAAGTCAATCCAAAATCGTAGTGTAATAATTTTCTAATTTCCGAGTTCTTATTCTTGTACTCTACAGTCAGTCCTAATCCCACTATTTTTCTCCACCAGGCTTGACTGAGATGAAATCTGCATCAAAATATCTAGGGGTAAGAATGGACAGAACTTAAACCTTCAGACAGAACCTTGAAAGCGTGAAAGATAAAATAAAAACACGTAATAACATTATTGCCAAGCTAGCAGGCACAAGCTGGGGCTGCCACTCAAACGTGCTCCGCACTTCTGCTCTAGCCCTAGTGTACAGCGTGGCAGACTACTGTGCCCCTGTGTGGGCCAGAAGCGCGCATTGCAAGAAGGTCGACGTACAGTTGAATAACACCATGAGAATCATAACAGGCTCCGTGAGATCAACCCAACTAGATTGGTTGCCGGTTATGTCTAATATAGCCCCTCCAGACCTACGCAGGCAAGTCCAGACTGAGTCAATGATACTGAAACTGAGCCACTATCCAGACTTACTTGTACAAATAGATATAGCAAACCACCCACCCAAGAGACTTAGTTCCAGAAAACCTATATGGAGCATGGCACGGTCAAATAAATCAATAGAGGAGATGTGGGCAAACAAATGGACAAACACTAACGTCCGAAACCATTTCCTAGTTAGCGTCCCTGATAGCAGAGTACCTGGGTTCGAGCTCAGCCGAGCACAATGGACGGCCCTAAACCGAATAAGAACTGGGCAAGGTAGGTGTAACTATCAATTACACAAATGAGGCATGACTGATCCCCGTTGTGCGAGTGCGGTCTAATACAGACCACAAGCCATATTGTTGAGGAATGTCAAAGAAGAAGATTTGAAGGAGGGATAGCAACTCTACACATCTGCGGACCAATGGCGATCAAATGGCTAGAGGAACTTGATATTCGACTCTAACAACCATGTTTGAAGAACATGTCCTATAATATTCTAGTCAGCTTTGTTTTATTTTTTGTTGTTATTGTTATTAGTCTGTTATATTTTATCTAATATTCTATATATGTTTATCTATTAATTATGTTAAATTTAAATCTAAATAAGAGGTCATGCCGAGTGTCATATGCATAAATAAATAAATCTGCATCCAATCAAAGTGGTGTCCGAGAATTCTTTTCATGCAGCTTGAAGAATTCCTTTTTCAAAATCAGAAACTATATGTTGTGGCTTAAATATTAAAATCATTTCCAAACATTTACTTTTCAGTGTAGACATAACAGTTCTGTACGACAATTCTTTTTTATCTTTTAATAAACTTATTGCAACAGGAACATATTTTTTTATTTTTCTCCCGTCTTAAGAAGACGGTACTCTCTAAATTTAAAATTATTTAATACAAGCAAAATTTTCCCTTTTTCACTATACATTACAGATAGTTGTGATATTTTAACGTGTTGATACAAAAACATCTTGCAATAGACTAAACGTTGACTTGCGTTGACGTATGATAACATTGTCGATAAAGCTCGCGTCTGGTATCATAATAATTGGTGTAATAATACCTGAAATTAATAAATTACAAAATTTTGGCAACATCGCATAACATATTCCACGCTCAATTGTGTTGCTAAAAAGGGATAGGTAGGTACTGATATACTAAATACTGCTTCATCGTTAGATCGTGAAAATTGGATAAGAGCTTATCGGATAATCGATAACCGGATACTGACCGCAATTAATACGTCTATTTTACCTTCAATATTATTAAGACCGCAATTCGTCTATTGCGACCGCAACTTGGACAATACCAATGGAAACACTTCATCTCCGACAAAGACATACGGTAATAGATCTCCATTTTCTAATACAGGATTAGGTTTTGGTATATTGAGTGTATTGTTGTGCAACTTTTTACCAATAATTGAGTTAGAAAAAATTCCTCCGTCACTGTTCCTTCCGTACGACCCGACATGAATTGTAATGAATTTGTAATCTGCATCTACTATTGCTAATATAACAATAGAGTGGTTTTCTTTGTAATTGTAATACGTGGATCCGGCATTAATAGGGCACTGTATATTGATGTACTTACCGTCTATAGCCCCTATTCTGTTTGGAAAATGCCACATGGTTTTATATCTTTCTGCAACTTTAATCCACATTTCCTCTGTGGGTTCTGGCATAACAAGTGGCCCTAAATTATCCCATATTGCCTCACAAACTTCTTTATCTATTTTTCTAATTGTACAGAAAACCTCCTCTGTAATTGAAACCAATACTTCTTAAGGAGTATTCTTCTTACCTAAAAATCTAAAATAAAAAAATGTTTAATGTTAATTTCCTTTTTAGGGAATATTGCTAAACAAAAATGGGAAAATGTGAGGAGATGTTTCTGCAATGTTCAAAACAGACGTAGAGAAGAAACAAAAAGTGGTATGGCTTCCAAAAAGAAGTCTGTGTGGAAATACGAACCACAAATATCATTTATTATACCATATTTAGAAAGCAGAAAATAAAAATTAAATTATTAAATTATTATTTTATATTTTACTTTATTCCTAATGTTTTTTTTATTCAATTAAAGGACGCATAGTAACTTAAACGAATTTCAGACATCTGCGAATTTGATCAGTGAGCCAGATGATTTGTCAGAGGGGTCCGAAGAAGAAAATATACAGTCCGAACAAGCACAGAAACACAGAGAAACGCCAAATGAACGAAGTATTGAAGATACCCAAGATGAAGCAACATTCAGCAATGCTGCAGCAGATGAAAGATATTACGAACACATAAAACGTAACAAAAAAACAAAAACAAAAAACTAACAATCCAGCACAACAGCTAGTTGAAATTCTAAAACTTAAAAGAAAATTATATTCGTAGAAAACGTCAGTATGAAGAAAATTGTATCAGCAAAGAACATAAAATAACTAACCAATTTGAAAATCTGGATGATATGGACATGTTTTTCCTGATTATGTCAAGAATGATAAGATAATTACCAAAATTTGAACAGGCTCAACTTAAACTTGCATTAAGTAACTCAGTATTAACTGCTGAAATAAAGTGTAATCGAGAACCAAGTTCTTCAGTTATTTATCCCAGTTATCCTACACAACAACTATATGTTTCAACTCATTCTCCGGCACCTAGTATGAGAAGCTTGCAGACAATGCCATCAGTTTCAAGTCAATCCTCAGCACTTAGAACGAGTTTACATGCAATGCCATCGCCTATAGACTCACCCAACAATTATTGTATAATTACTGAACATAATTATCAAAGATCAGTGGAGCAACATTTTATAGCACAAGACCAGACTCCTACCAGAGCAATATTACTTAAAATGATGTCCATTCCTCATTTTCAATACGAGTGATTTAATATAAGCTTAATAATCTAAAATTGTATACTAATAATTCATAATCTCAATACTTGGTGGTAATTGATATGTTAATATTCTTTATTTGTAATAATTTAAAAATAATAAAATAATTTATATGTCGAGAAATATTTTATTTTTTATTACTTACCTCAAACAAACAGCTAACCTTTCTTCGGTACTAATGTGTTTTCAAAATTGTGTGCTTTTTTTTTGTATGTCTTTTTTAATAAGGTCGTGTACATAATCAAATTCTTCTTTCATCATTCGGAAATACATGTGAAATCGTCTTGGATCGTTTGGTAGTTCTTGAACTAGACGATGGAATTCTCCCAATTTTGAAATTTTTTTATTAATATCTTGAACCCAGCACGATCGGGTGGATTTTTTATTTTCTTCGTCCAAAACTGCAAAAACAGCTGCAGTTTTTAATTCCTCTTCCCACTCTGAACTACTTGAAGTTAATATTTCCATTATAATTTTACTTAAGAAAACTAACTTGTGTAAGTTCACACCTACCTTACACAACACAGTGACTACTGACTAGGTACTAAATTGTGACATGATAATGTGACGATCGTTTATTTCTAAGCTTGATATCACCGATTAAATGTGCCGATGTGACAGCACGTGAGCTCACTTGACGTGGCAATAGTCTGTCCCTACCTTAAGCCGATACGAAACCAATGGTTTGATACAATGTACGTTAATTAATAAATTCTAATAATGAGATTTTTTGTAATTGAAACTTAAAACCCGTGTGTTCCAGAACGCACGTCAGATGTAATACTTGGTGTTGGTCGGGAATGGTAAAATCGGAAACGGTTTAATCGATAGACTTATAGGTAAGAGGGGGGAGGAAGTAACAGTCTGCATTACTATAAACAAGGTGCTTAATATTCAGGATAACCGAGTACTATCGGTATTAGGTTATCAACTTACCAAGAAAAATACCGAAATATCGACGCCGCGCCGGTATATATAATAAACAATAATCAGCAGGTACATGGTAGCCTGCTGGTTTGATACGATCATGTACGCTCACTTTGCTGACCGCAAGTATACAGGCGTGTCCATTTACGACGATGTATCCCTATGTGTGTCCCACGCAGTGGATTATTACGCGATGACATACCCGGTCGAGGTATACACAGTTATGAAGATGTGGCCTTTCCTGTGTATCGGAGCAGTGCAGCGTGACAATGAAGATTACACATAAAAATCTGACTTTTAATTCAACTTACACAGGTAGTATTAGGGATATATTTTATAAATTACCAATAAATTAAACTGTTTTTAGATACGTTAAGAAGAGTATTAAATTATACATAAAACTTTCAATATTTTAAATATTTTGACCCAAAAAAATTAAAATTAAATAAATATAAAATACCTTGTAAATTAAAAAGCAAAATACATTTTCAACTGCTTCTAATGTGTGCAATGTGTGAATGAAACAAGATTCACTTGAGATATTAGCGTCATTACAAGCTTTTTTTTATATTTGATGCATTGTCTCTAAGACCTATAACAATTTTATTATCTATGTTTCATTTTGATGTGAAGTTTAGTACTTTTGTAGCATGCTACAAATATTTTGACATGTATGCCTTTCTGGGAAGTGTTTTCAACTTGGAGCAGCACGAATTTTTTTAAAAATCACTTGTTAGATAATTGGCACTCAAACTTATAAAACCTTCATTATTATTGTTAGCTGTCCAAATATCGGTGATGATTGAAATATAAGCTTTTAATTCAATGTCTTTCAATAGTTGTTCCTTAACTTTAGTATACATATTTAGCATAACTGTTATAACATTATTAGTAAAATATTTTTTGTCACGCCTGCACTGAAAGTTTAGTTTTCGACCATAGTTGAAGCGTTCGAAAGCGTCCTTTTTCCGTCCAGCGGGCGGTAAAGTGGAAATCTCCAAAGTGCCGGGCGGAAAAGAGGAAATCCCCAAAAGTGCCGGGCGGAAAAGAGGAAATCCCCAAAAGTGCCGGGCGGAAAAGAGGAAATCCCCAAAAGTGCCGGGCGGAAAAGAAGAAATCCCCAAAAGTGCCGGGCGCCGGGCGCGTATCCCCTGCACAACCAGAAACTAAAATGTATACCTAGTACCTACCACGGTTCTTACAAAACATAAACTTTTGGTTACATCTTAAATGTATAGTATAACCTCCTTACATGACGCATAGATTCCTGCATAACCTTTTCCATGAACGCAGGGGCGTGACAAAAAATAGTATGTGTGGCTCGCGCGGGAAGGCCATTTCAGTCTTGTGCGAAATGCGGCACACGACGCCCGCGACTGAAATGGCTCACTTCCCGCCCTTGCCACACAATATACTATTCTACCAGGAATTTTGTACTTTGGCTGCAGTTAACGATTGCACTGTTTAGTTTTATTTTAATTTACTTGACTAAAAATGCATCCAGCTGCAGAACTACTATGGGGTAAAAAAAATATATTATTAACTAATGTAGCCCATTCAGGATATAGTAGGCTATCATCTCTTTTAATCAATGAAAGATGTTTTTTTCCAAAATTAAAATAAGTTTAATGAAATATCTAAATCATTACTCGCTTTAAGCATTCTTCACTCTATATCCAGAGCATATATATCGGTAAAAAACTTGGGGAAGTACATAAATATTTCCTAAGTTCTTCGGGTCTAAAAATTACAAATTTTTCAATTTCAATAATTTCTCTAGAATTAAATCGTTCCCATTAGCTTATACATTTCAAAATACTTCTCATTCTGATGCACCAACTTTCGCTGGGAATTCTCTCAAGCTGTATTTAGGGACCTATTTGCCTTTAACCAGGTGTACCAGTACACTCACTGGTTCCACATTACCTCTATCTTGATGTTCCAGGACAGGTTCGGACTGCCCAGACAGCCTCTTAACGGGGATCCTGTGGCAGGTAAGAGGTGCGTATATGGTCCGTGGGCCTTCGCCCAAAGGGTTTGAAGGTTATAACCATAATGGTGATTGAACTGGCTGCTTGTGACACAGCAGCCTCAATTCTGGGACATGGTGACAATCATTTCGTGCTATTGCGAATACCTCCTGCTGAGTTACTCGCCAGAGAGAATCGTAAAGAGAGAGGTTATGTCGACAATTTCGTGCAGGTGCTCACCAGGTACGCAAATGCTACAGGCATACCTATAAAACCTCTCAGGACATGGCAAGCAGCCAAACTCTTCGAGTACTCGATGAAGTACCACTAAAAAGGTTAGGTTAGGATGGTTACGAAGGCAGGTGTCTTGTGCCCTCAAAAAGTTTTCGAGGTTTGCGAGTGAGGCCAATCAAGTGATTCCCACCGTCAACGGGGATCTATCAGGATTGTACTTAACAGGAGCATCTGCAGCCACAGAGGACTTGACGCCTAGAAGTTCACCGGGGCTTAAGGAGCTCCAATTTTTTTTTGCAACTGGGCGCAAAATGTCTAAATACGGCACTGGCCGTACCTGTCATCACTTTAACATATTTTAAATAGTAATATATTACTGTTTATACGGTGACTTTAAGTTGGGAACGACAGTCGACAGAACGAGGAATAGCACAGATTACACACATCCAATACATATTTTCATTTGCACACTGTACTTACATCTTTTACGTATTGTACTATTTCATGTGACAAATGTGATTATATCAGTCAACTTGACAATCAACCTACAGTGACCTCTGCCAGATTAAGTCCAGGCTCAGTACCTTTTGCTCTACCTTAGTTCATCGTAATTAATAAAATCATCGGAGAACTACCAGCCAGACTTTTCACGAGACCTAAATAGATACGGACCTGGGGACATATTGCTAGCTGATCCTCAATTTTGGGCTCCTGGAAGCATGGAAATGCTAATTCTCGCCGGAATCTTCTAACAACTGATTCACCCCGACCAGGTCAGACAAGATTTAATGCCGCTATTATTGTTCCAGAATACAGTACTCGGCTGGATTGCATCAGGCAAAATCAGGCAAACCAATACTTATAAATCAACGGTTGCTTTGGAAAAGGCTCATTCCAGCGAGAACTTTAAAGAAACCTGGGCTTCTGGGAACTGGAAGAAGTGAATAAAGTACAAAAAGTCACTGGAATCTAGTCACGATGTAAAGAAATATATATAACACACACAATGTGCAAGAAGGACCACTACTGGTAGACTATGAAAAATAATGAAATGGCAAACTCATATTCAAAAGATATTTTGGAGGAGAGTCTGCAAGATTCTTTTAAGGGGAACGCAGCAGACGTATTTTTCATGCGTTTTAGACCAATAAGCGGTAGTAAATTACACATACTTAGGAATGTCCGATTTTCATTTTTTATACATGTATGAACTCTTTGACAAAATATCTAAGTTATTTAGGAAGTCGATTTTCAATTTTCAATTTTAAAGGACCCTTAAATAACGATTTTTTTTTCAAAAATCTCATGAAATAATTGCATTACATTTGTATTTATTTTGGGCACGTCTAATTTTAAATCAAAAAAGTGATTCCTAAAGAGCATAGTCTAGAATTTTATAAATTCAACCATATTTTCAAAATTACAATCGGACTTCAGGAAGTATGTTTAATTTACTACCGCTTTTAGTAGTTTTTATAGCATTGGAAACATGAATATATTTCATTTTTCGTAATGTATTGACATGTGCCTGCGCGTGCGATAGTTTATTTCGGCGGCGCGGCTGCCGACGGGCCGTGATAGATTCTCGGAAAGTCAGAATCAATTAGCCGATAAGGATTATTGGATAGGTATAGCACATTACTAATGGGCGACAATAATAATAGTCAGTAATAATAATTATATTTTTCCAAATTTAATACAACAAACATATATTTAAATTTTAAGGAAATACAAAGTATAAAAATACTACCTATGATTTATGAATCATTTGATTTCAATACAACACGCCGATCAGTAAGGTTGTCTGTAAGTTTTGTGTTCTTTTTAATATTTTATTTTACAAAACGGGTTAAGATTGGCGTTATGGTGTTACATGCGGCCCTTCAGGGATCCAAAAGCTGGTGTACTTGATAAATAATAATAGTTAATTAGAATGGTAATCAAATGTATTATATTAAACCAGACAAAACAAGCAGAATAATAGTGTTGATTGTAGTGAATTTGTAGCTCGTTCCGAAGTTGATAATCTCCGTGTAAGTCGTGTGTGATGGCTGGGCGGCTAAGCGAGTCGTGTGGTGTTCTATAAGGTCTACGATAGATAGGTGGCTGATCCTTTTTTAACTTAATAGCATGTGTACCGACATTGGTAAATGTTAAAACATCCCCTTCCAAATGAAATATGTTATTATATCGTTCGCATATTTCGTAAATAGATTGTTTTTCAATTTCGTCCATGTGGTCAGTTATTATTACTTGTTTCAAACGTTCTATTCGTTCTTTATGATCATTTGTCGATTCTACATTATATATTTCGTATTCAGTATCAAAGAGTATTTT